GTGTGTGTGGGGGTGAGGGTGAGAGAGAGAGAGAGAGAGAGCTGTGTGGGATGTGGGAATGTTCAGGGACTCCAGCTCTGTGCTGCAGAGGGAACTGCTCTCCCTCCTTCCTCGTCTCATCGTGTGTTATGTAACAGCCTCCGGCCCGTTGTTTCAAAGCTCTTCCAGCTTTCATGCAGAGAATCACAGCCACTCATCAGACAGCTCGGACTCATCTGTGAGCATCGCAGAGAGTACGGACAAAAGACTCTGAACTTCTGAATCTTTTCAAGAGGCTGGAAAAAGTCCAAGTTCACAGGAGAAGCTCGGTTTAGTGCGGAGCTGAAAACCCTGATGCAGATGACATGTGCTGAGAACCTGCAACCTGCTCATTAGTGCACGTAACTCCAGCAGAGACAGCACAGGTTCTGGGGCTGACGGAGGATGATTAGCACGTTCTTCTTAGGTGCATGACACATTGACTTTTTCCAATCCAACGCATCCCGTACAAACATGTGATACTTGCAAGACGTCTGGCTGCAAAGTGACACACAATTCCCAAATTCTACAATTTCATAAATGAATGCAGCAGCCCGTCTGGTCTATGATCAGCCCAAAAGAGCATGTCACTCTGCTACTCACTGGCCTACACTGGCTACCCATGGCCACCCGAATCAAATTCAAGTCACCAATGCTGCCTTCACAGTGACTTCTGGGTCTGCTCCATCTACCTGAACTCAGTCATTCAGCTTTATGCTCCTTTTCAGCCACTGTGTTTCTCCAAGCAATGTGGTCTGGCACACAAGACAGTCTCAGTCCAGTCTGTTCTGGTCTGTGGTTCCCTGATGGTGGAACAAACTACTAAAGTCTATCAGAGCAGAGCGTCACTCTCTGTCTTCAAGAATCTGCTGAAGACTCCTCTCTTCAGAGAGCAGCTCCTCTAACCCCTCTAACACCCTCGCATGTCTAACGAGCTCTTACTGTGAACTTTACCTGCACTTCTTTACCTGATCTCCTTCACTTATTAAACACATGTAGTCCTTACACCAAGGTCTAGTTCTGCACTTACACTTTAGTGAGGTCCCTCACTTATAGTATCAATAAAAATGTCTGACAAATAAGCAATTGTGAATATAAGTAAGGCCAGGAACACACTCCCTGCGTGACACGCACGTGAGTTGTAATGGACCAGAATTATCCTTTAAATTGAAGTGATTCTTATTTTCCTCTCAAAACCTTCTCAGATCAACCCAGTCAGATCCTGGGTGAAGAGAAAAAGAGATAACTGAATTTGCTACGACTTTTACAACACCCAAGTTTTTATTGAAATTTGAACAGTTCAAGTCCACTGAACAACCGTAAAAGGTACAAAGGTACGCAGTAAACTGCCCAAGATAAAATAAAAATGAAGAATAATGTAAACTTCAGCATTATAAAATGTTCAGGCATCAAGTAACGGTTTAACAACTTGCAGTTTCTCTGCAGCAGTGGAATTAACTGAAGCCTTGAAAGCTGATTAAAAACACTTCCTCCAGGCTGATGATGACAAACCCTCTGTCTGTACAAACTGTGTCACTACACCCTCTGATGCATCGCCAGGACAACACTGTACTGCAGGAAGTAGACCTGTATACTGCTGTCAGAGTGGAGAGAGAAAGAGGAACCAGTAACAGAGGAAGACAGACTGGTTGGTCCGAGCTTCATCCTACAGCAACATAATAAGCCACAACATTAGCAGACCAGAACCAGGCGGAGGCTTCACATGATGAAGAGCGGCTCAGTCTCCAGATCTGAACCTCATGGATCTGGTTTGAGATGAACTGGAGGGAAGGCGAAGGGTGACAAACCCTCTGAACAACATTCGATTTCCATTGTAGAAGAATCAGCCAGTTTGTCAAATGGACGAGTTAGAAATTTAGATTTAATTTCGTTTAACTAAAATATTCCTTTTTTAATCTTTGCTCATTTGTTCCATGCTTTCATTTCAGAAACACTGAGACAAAACTTGTTATTATTTGTAGTTCATTACAATACATTTGTCTTTTCTCAAGTAAAGGTTGTGTTGCGACTCACAGTTGTGCTTTTCCAGGGCAACAGTTGCTCACGATGTCGCTCATAATGTGTGTGATCTTTGAATAACGCAGCTCTAAAAACTACTCAGCTTCATGAAAAAAAAATAAATAAATCATTGCCAATGTTTTCACACAGCCAGTTTAAAGTTGCTCAAGGCGCAAAAAACAAGCACTCTTGACTTTGCAATCTTCAGCTTGAAAAGTGCAAACTAATATTTTTCTTACACTAAAACTGACTTGGTTTCAGAGGATGGGTGAGAGTATCATCATGATCTCTGACAGGCAGGCCTTGTATTTAATACATCCTCTCAGCACGCTGTTATACTATTCTTCTAGTGTTCTCCACCAACACATAATACGCATGATGGTTTGAATGCATCGGGATATGTCTATTCTTGCCCGTTACGGTCTCTGAGATGAAGTAGGTTAGAGCTGAACAAAGCCTTCTTTCTCACCACACTCATTAAATCAATTACTTCCACTTTAAAGAGCAATTGTTGTTGGTCCGCTCCTCTAATCTTTGTAAAGCCCTGTTTGGCAACTGGCAATTCTTACAGTGTATTAGATATTCCCACATGATTCACAGGTTCACTGCAGTTCAAAAAGCAGAGCAGAGTTCTGTCAATATGCAATAACACCAGCCCAATTAAAGGCCACGTTACACTGGGACATTACAACTGCGTTATATCTTAAAATTGTTGTAATTGCGGGCTTGCATGCTCTGCAATGTGTATCAAAATACTGACTTTTAACTATACCGCTGTGCTTGGGAGGGTGGAGCTCAGAGTCGCTGCTCCTCTGCGTCAGGAGGAGCAGGTTGAGGTGGTTGGAGCATCTGGTCAGGATGCTTCCCGGGCGCCTTCCATTGGAGGTTGTTCTACGGGGGAACCTCAAACTGGAAGGAGGCACGAGGGTAGACCCAGAACCTTCTGGACTACATATGTCGTATGGCCTGGGAACATCTGGAGGAACTGGACAACATTGCTGGGGAGAGGAACATCTGGACTAGCTCGTTAAACCTGCTGCCACCGACTCCGATGGACGGATGGATGGAAAATTGTTTAAAAGATTGTGATCTAAGTGGAGAACTCTGATCATGTGATAACAGCTGAGGAAGCGTTTCTGAAGAACTCCATGTGTTCGCAAATAAACTCTTACACCTTTCCAAGTTCAGAGTATGTTATCACAGATTTGTGTTTGGCAACATCAAAAATGACCCTCCCTGCTCAAATGAGGCAACTTGCTTTTCTGGGTTTATGTTGTTATTCTTGGCTTTTATTGGTGTGAACAGGAGGAATCATGTCCAGAGGTTACAGAGGAGTTTGATATCGGAAACCATGTCACTGATCTCATCAACAACATCAACACTGAACACAGTTTTGGTGTTAGTCCATCAAACTCAACAGATTCAACCTTCTCCCAAAGTCACACAGGAATAGATCCAGTGGAGGAGAAGCAGAGAGAACAACTTCTACACCCGCAGGAGCAGGAACTACACCTGGACGTATAACACTGATCATCACCAACAACCTAGTTCCCTGACGCATCCTGTTTTCATCCATTCGTTACAGCGAGAAACAAGATCAGCACCTCTTTAGAGGATTGTTTAGGGAACTATGATTACTGTTTGAAACAGGAGTAGACATCACAAGAAATATACAATAAACTGAAGACAACAGACAAGACTAAACAGTGGTGCAGAGAGAGAGGTACAGTGTACTTTAAAGATGGGTTGCCTGGGGGATAGAATCAAATTACAAGAGCTGGAGCTAATTAGATGGAGATGTGGATATTTTAAAGCCAATAGTGATATCTGAGCAGATCTAAGACTGGTAGCCAGTCACCGATCATTGCCGATCACGCTGAAACCCGGTCATCAGCCGGATCAATCAGTGCGTCTATACTTAATAAAAGTCAGTGTTGGTTGCATTATGTGAAGTGTCAGATTCAGTGTTTTTGCAGCCTCTCTGCTGCTTCGATTTTAATCACTCACATGTTGATTGTTTCTTGTTAGCTCCCCAATTTTATAGAAGAGCAATATAAAATGGCTAAAGTACTCCTTTACATCTAGCTTCAGTTCCTGTGAAGGTTAAATGAACTAAAGACCAGCCTAGTTAAAAAAATATCTGACAATGATTAATCAGCAGATAGTAATTGTTTTGATATAAACACGACATAAACAACAACCTTTAGGTTTGTTTTTGAGTCACGTTGACCAAAGTCATAATGACAGTGATACTTTGATTTTGCTAGTGAAAACACTATTGGAATCACACTATAATATGAATGACGCCTGTGACTCATATTGATATGTGAAGCACAGAGGAGCTTTATGAATTCATGGATCAGCCCAGAATCAAAGAGGAGAGACAGAGGACCCTAACCCTCCAACAGTTTCAGTTCAGTATCATGAAAAACAAAGCAGCAGCAGTTCCTAGAGGGTGGGATCAGACAGTGTCTTACACTTTCATAATGAATCAGTCATTTTCTCAGTCCACTGATCAATTAATTGACTAATTATTATAGCTCTAAAAAGCATGTTTTGTGCACAGACTCTCAGTTTGTCAGCTTGTAGCAGTGCATTACCTTTGAGCTCCTGTTTTAAAACAGCACCTCAGCAAAGAGTTCCCTCCAGAGACCAAAGACCCTCTTGTGGTCTTGGTTCTTTATACACAATGTGCACTTCATGAATTACCCCGGACCTCACACTGTGGTATGGAGCTCTGTAGTAAACCCCTCTGAGCCTCCGTGTGCAGCTCTGGATGCTGAGAGGCAACAAAACACCATCAAAAGTTCCCAAAAGCCGAGAACGACAGTGAAAGTCCGTCGCAGCGCGCAGACACTTTGCAGTGAAGTTGTGCATGCGTGGCCAGGCCACGGTGAGCCCCCACAGCCCACTGTGTTACTTAACAACAGCAACAAGACCACAACTCGTCGGGATGCTCCTACCTTGCAGGTTCTGCACTCTGATGTCGCTGATCTGTCCGATAAATTCCTCCCGCTCGAACCAGTCCTCCCACTCGTGTCCGGCCATCTGGAGCCGCGGAGCGTGCTGCAGGATCCTGGGCTGGAGCACTGGAGAGCCTCCCCGGCTGCAGGGGAAGCTGCTGCTGCTGCTGCTGCTGCAGCGGGCAGGCGGGCTGTCTATTGTCCGGGCGGCCGACCGGGGGCCATGCAAGCCGGACACTCGGGGTGAGAACGGGAGGGTTTCAGTTACTGGCCGGACATCGCTGGTGTTTACTGCGGGTTTCTTCCCGATGCAGCGGCAGCAGCGGAGGTCTGTGGCAAAAGCCCGGAGAGATGAGTGTAGAGCAGGGGAAGAAGGAGCCGCAGCACCTGGTTGGTATTTCCGAGGTGGGATGGAGCTGATCCAGTGCCCGCCCACCTCTCTCTCTCTCTCTCTCTCTCTCTCTCTCTCACTCGCACACACAAACACAAACTCACTGACAACACCAGTAAAAAGCAGGGAGGAGGGGAAGAAGTGGTAATTCACATAATACACAATACCAGTCAACAACAAAATCAGAGTATTTTCACATCAACCTCACTCTTCCCAGTAAATGACTCATGAATACAATGGTTATAAAAAGAGGGTGAGTAGGTTTTCTCTGATTCCACCTACAGTGTGAAGAGTTTCTCTGTTTTACATTGTTGTAAACTGATTATCTTTGGGTTGTGGTTTGGAAAAACAATTAGTTGCAGCTCTCGTTTACTACAATTAACTAACAAAGCCAAACGTCAAATGTGAAATCTGCTCTCCTGTACCAGATCGCTAAATAAATCTGGCCGTACTTGGTGCTTGGTGCTTGATGCTTGATTTCTTCTGGCCCAGTACACGCCCAGTACACGCCCAGATCTGGCCCATATACAGCATGATTGTCAGATGCTGCTTCCACATCTGGACCAGTTCTGGTGCATACACAGAAAATCATATGGGCTGGACTCAGTCCTTGGAACCGGGTCTGTAGTCTGTATTAGGAGGAGGTTGGGGTGGAAGGATGGGTTGACAAAATTTTGGACTTTCACACAGAAGGCCACAGTTCATTTCATTTGTGTTCTTTTTCTTTCCACGACCGCAACTGAATTGTGATCATGACAATAAAGGTCCTGTAAGTGTAGAGGAGCTGTTTGTAAATTTTGCTATTACTGCATAGCTAACGTTGGCAGTTACTTCATGACAGACTGGAGGCTACAGCGACTCGGTATCAGAAAGTGACGAGACAGTCCGACCGGACAGGAGCTAGCTGGTTAGCATGCTAACTTCAGCAGTAGAAAAGAAGTGATAGAGACAAGAGTTAACACTGGTGTTTCTTTCCACCTTTGGAGACAGCATTTGGTGAGTAAAGAAATTAAGTTCGATGCTCAACTCACAACGTTTCGTAAACAGTTGCTAATGCTAACGTTGTAGCAATAGCAACGCTTACAGCTCCTTTAAGGAAGTACTTATTTTAACTAAAATCATGATCTTTTCCTAAATCAAACCAAGTAGTATTTGTGACTAAACTTAACCAGACCGTGACTGTTCCACAGTGTTAAGGATCGTATAAGAGGGTAAGTACAAGCAACCTCAATGGTTGTACAGGTTGGAGAACTTGAAATACAAACAAAAGCAGCTAGAGAGGAATATTCTGTCTAAATAAAATACAGTGTAAAGCAAAATATGATTTAGAACTATATGAATTGTATTATTTATTTCAATTCATGAACTGTCTGATCAAAGAATAAGTAGCCTAAACAACATTACAAATCTGACCAGACGTTCAGTGCCAACTGTTGGTATTGACCACCTTCCATACAGGAAATCAGCTGCCGGGCCCCCTTCATGTCACTGCCAGTGTATGGTTCATCCATTGTACACTGGAACACTTCATAGCACCAGGTCAACCATGTCATAATTAGAAAGAATGAGAATCAGAAATGAATTTAGAAATATGCAACATCAAAGTACAAAACTGAAATGATGATGATTTTACAACTAGATTTTGACAAAGGGACCTGTCTGAGTACTTGAACGATGCCAACGTCATTGAGAACAATGCTTTGTTTAGGCAGCTTATTGGTTGTTTATTTTTTTATTGTTTTCAGCTGATGAACTGACACAGACGAACAGGAAAGAGGACATATATTCATTTGCCTGTATTTAGTCTACAACTTCAAGGCAAGTGAGTCACTTGGTTCATTATTGCTCGTGGTTGTTGAATGAACCTGTAAACAAGGTGCAAATGCAAAGATAAATTAAATAGATATCTAATTAAATAAATACTGAAAATGACCTTGTAATGTGCTTGTGTGGGGCCCCTGGTGGTGGTTGGGGTCTGTTTAGTTTGCTCTTCCCTTCAGCAGGTTATGTAAAATCCATTCATTATAGATGCAGAGGTATAAGCCCCACCCACGCTGCCAGCCAGGTCCTCAGCTCCTCTGCTTATTACCATGTGTAGAAAGCATCAGTTTCTATGTGTCTGAAGACTGGTGTCTGTAAAGACAATAAAGTGTTTGAACAGGACACAAAAACTTTAATGACCCAACTACAACTTGAAACATGCGCTGAATGAATGAAACATACATGAACATGAATGTGTCACATGTTACTGCAGTAGAGAGTGAAAAAAACAACAACAAGAAAATAAGAAAAAGCCTTCACTAACTTTTTCTGGAGTGTCAACAGCCTTTAATGGATGGAGTCTGTGCAGTTGTCATGGAGAGGGCTCGTTTCTCATCACATGTGATCTTCAGTCATGTGACAACAGACGGCTGTATAAGTGGGGAGATATAGCCCCTGATGCTGTCTGTTGATGAAATAGAAAGAACACTGAGCATGAAACAGACACACATGACATCTGCTGATGAAGATCTGGTTGAAAGCTCCAAGAACAGCCAGTAAGGAAACTTTGAGTTAGAAGAAATTATCTGGGCGGTACTCTATATTTCAGCAAAGTCCAGCTGCACCTGATTCAACATCTTTTGGAGAACCATGACCTGGATAACTGAGAATCTTCACAGACACTTCACAGACGTATTCCTTCAGAACCGTGAACACACACACTGGTTTATGTGGCTCAGTCCCACATACATGTTCTCACTGCCCCAGATACTCAGTAGAGCATCAAGAGCCCTATTAATGTGGGGGCACAACAACCAGCACGAGCAGCTTTCTGACAGTTTGGTATTTTCCTGACCCTGAAATTCACTTTGCCCGTCTGTATGGTGGTGCTCAGCACAGGTGGGAGACCAAGCAGGTGGGAGGTTCGGTCAAATCAGGCAGCACAAAGTGAGTTGCTGGTATGTTGATGGAAGATGTTTCTTATGGCCACAGTGCGAATTAAAAAATGACAATTGTGGGGGTCAACTTTTTCTCACGTACCACACAGGCTCAGTCCGCAGCGGCTGTGGGTTTCGAGTCTGACCCGCAGTCCTTTGCTGCATGCCACCCCCCCTCTCTCGCCCTGAATTTCCTGTCTATCTCTCACTGTACTGTACTAATAAAGGCAAAAATGCCTGAAAATATAACTTCAAAAAATTGTCAAAAAAAAAGTTTATTAAATACTTAAATTTACCTACAGTGTCTCAATTTGCCTGAGGACGGAGCCACTGATGGAGTGAGGCAACAGACGAGACGTTCAGCTAACGTCAAGGTTAGGAAATGGTACAGTCCAGTTTAGGAGGTCTGAAAACGTATTATAAGATTCTTCCAGGCATTAATATGAGAAATATATTGTAACATTTACAATTACAGGTAAGAAGCATTTATAAATGTTTCAACCCTCCTGAACAATTTTTTTTTTACCTTTTTTGGGGGTCCAACGTAGGGCTCTGCTTCCAGGAATGGTGTGAAATGCAGTAGTTCTCCAGGGAACATGGTATTTCCATGTGGAGCGCTGTGTTCGGTGTCTTGGTGACTCACCATGAGAAGAGAGGGAGAGGACGGGTTTGGTGATGCATACCAGTGGCGCACTGTAGTGTGGATGTTGCATGGTCCACCACCTGCCTGCTCAGCACACTTTTCTTTAGTCATCTTATTCAGTGAAGTGACTAAAATCACACAAAGGCCTTTAGTCATGTTTTGCTCAAGTGTACAAGTTGCACTGCAACTGCATAAAGATTAATGAGGGATTCTTACCAGTCAGTAGGTCGTCAGTGCTGAACGCCTTTCCTTTACTCAGGTGAATCTGTTTACAGCCGTCTGAAGGCAGCAGGTATCCGGTTCATCCCGTCTCTAGCAGGAGTGATGTTCGAGTGATGGCACATCCACAGTTTACATTTTGTGAAACAAAGCACAGATTTTGTGATTTGAGGCGTGTGGGACACTGACACACTGAAAACAGAAATATCATAGATCTATTCAAACTTCTCTCACCACTAATAACTCCCTCACGACTGACCATTCCTTTCTCCTTCATTGGTATCTCCTTCCAAAACACTGGGTAACCATGGCAATGGCTGTGTGCTCTATTTAAACGATGCTGGCCAAAGTAACAACTGGAACTCTGTATTCTCAGTTAGAATACAGGTAGACATGTGGCTGTGCTCACCAACATGATGTGACAGAGACTGTATAGGTTACATGTTATAGTTGTTTCAGCAACACAACAATTTGTTGATAATAACAAAAATAAAATAACTAAAATTTTTTGTCATACACTTAAATATTGATAATTGTTGGATAGTTGGATCAGAGCTTAACCAAGTGTGTTTGGGGTCCAAACAGTGAAGTGAGTGAAAATATTATTTGGATCAGATGCATCTTAAAGGAGCCATTTGTAACTTTTGCTATTTCTACATAGCTAACGTTAGCATTAACAGCCATTTACTTACCAGTCTAGAAGAAACGTTGTGAGTTCAGCATCAAACTTTATTCCTTTACTCACTAACAGCTGTCTCCAGAGGTGGAAAGCAACTTTGCTTTGTTTCTATTTCACTTCTTTTCTTCCACTGAAGTTAGCATGCTAACCAGCTAGCCAGCTAGCTAGCAGGCCAACCCGACCCGACCCATCTAATCACTTTCTGGAACTGAGCCACTGTAGCCCAGAGGACGTGTTATAACCTATAGTGCTGTAAACGCAACAATGGCTCAAGCTCTTGCCTAGACTAATAAGTAAACATCTATTAATGCTAACGTTGGCTATGTAGCAATAGCAAAGCTTACAAATAGCTCCTTTAAGTTCACAGTTTGATTCTTTGATTACTGATTAATTAATGTACAGCTGTAAGTTAAAAAAAAAGAAATATCAGCCTTTCACAGTCAGCAATCACAATCTGTGTTGATTCTCTCAATGCTTTTAATATTTATGTT